CTGGTAAATGCTTTCGGACCCCTGCGTATCGCGCAGTGGGCCTGTGATTTTGTTTTGCGACGCCCCGTCTAACCACCTGTGCTAGTTCTGGGACATATTGAAGAAAGGTCAAGCTAACGGAAAAGAAGTTAGTACCTCTAGGGCGTAACCCCATTGGATGGCTGTTAGCCGGCGCAACCTGGCTGCGGGACCGCGGGGTAAGAGTTTAAGGGGGGTTGCTCGCCCCAGTGAAATTACTCCGCGGGATAATGATGGTTGAAAATTTTTGGGGAGAGATCATGATTGAGTGCTTACCAGGGGGAAACCTATCGTTGCGTAACCAACGAAGGTACTGCCGTTAAATAACAATGCGGTGGGCCGTGTTCCTGGTCCGATCAGCCAGGCTATGGTGGGCCAAGGTGGAGACCTAGCCTTTTTGTACTAGACTGCAGAAAGAGCTGAGCGAATATTAAGTATACATATATACTTGCGTGTATTTGATTGCGAAAATTTTTTGAGAAGGAAGGCGAGAGTGTCTTCAAAAGGTATCGATTAAGGCCCGCGTCCCTAGTTTTGCCAGGACTGGGGACACCCAATGAAAAACCGAAGGTTGTCTAGGACCGGGGAGAGGACGATTGGGAAGGTCTTTGGAACTTATGCTGCCAGTGTCCTAATTTCTGGACGGTGTGAGGCCCAGGTTAGAAACCTGACAGCATATAGTTATGAAGGCATGGTTTGATGGAGGCCTCTACCCTGTGTTTGTCGGCTAATCGGATTGGCTCCTGTCTCGTCAGAATTTTGGAGTGTGGATGGATTTATAGTCTTCTGATTTGGCGAAGCGACGGGGACGTCGCTTAATATGGTCCGGTAAGCTGTCGGTGCGAATACCCTTACAAGGGTAACAGAAAATTGTTTGGTTTAAAGTTTAAGTATACCGCGCTAAGCGCGGCTGCGTCTGTAATTGCATTGACTAGGTGGTTGACCACAATAGTGAGTGCGTGGGCGCGCAGGTTTAAGGCGCGTGTGATTCTTTTCTATTGTTGATCGTAAAGCCGGCCCGGACCTCGGTCGTTTTGCTTAGTGATATTATTATTTATTTATTTTTTATTAAGTAGGAATTAAGGATATTTTTGTTTGATTAGTACATATTGACTGAGTCGAGCGCGCTTGCGGAGAAACGATCCGACGACGACATCGGCAATAACGGCGCGACTTCGTGCGGTGAGAAGGATGTAGTAGGATGGCGTGCGGGGCAATTATGGCATGGTATACGCAAGCCGGCGCGGGCACTAGGAGCCGTGCAACCGGCTTTGTTGGTCCAAAGCGCCGCGCCGCACCGGTTTGTATGGTACTCTGCGGGTGCTGGTCTCAGGCTTGGGTTTAGCCCTATAGGTTACGGCATTGGACTGACACTATGAAGGTTCGGGGATCGAGACCGAAGAGCGTCGATGCAGCGGCAGCGGAGCAGCGTGGAGCGGAACCTGAGGGATTGAGGGTCTGCGGGGCTATCTCCCTTTTTGTTCTGGGAGAAGCCTGACCGCGGGCCCGCTTGAAGAACCGAGGGACGCCGGCACGCCCCGTGCCCGACCCTGCCGATTTTTTCCACTCTACAGTGGAGTGGTTTTGACTTCCAATATTGCTTTGCGCTCCACGTTGCCAAAATCTCGGTATTGGCGTTGGGATCGATGGTCGGCCCGACAGCCTAGTTCAAAGAAAAAGGGGGCGGGGTACCCTGGACGGCCTAGGGCCGTTCAAGCCCCAAGAGGTCACGGGGCATTGCCCTGGTGAGTCCTTCGGGGCATCCGTCAAAACCGATAGTATAAACCGACGGGGGTCCGACAGCCGCCCGTTTTAACGTTTCTTGTCGGACCACGCAGTCGAAAGACGGGCCGGGGCGATACCGTGGCGTTCTGCGCAGTGTCGGAGCGAGGAGGCTGAGGCCAACAGAGGCAGAAGTGGGCAGCAGCGGAGCGCCAGCAGGGAACGACGGGCAGCAGAGTTATGGGGTAGAGGAAGCCAGATAAGCGGGATGGGCAGATAGCGGCCGACAAGCAGATAGCGCTGAGCAACGCAGGGAGCGATGAGCAGCAGCCAGCGAGGAGGGAAAGACGAATGAACCTGGACGCTTTTTGTGCCAGGTGCATTCGGTGAGGATATGGGGTAGCGTGACGGACGAAGAAGAAAAAGTCAATAGCCCGACCGACTTTTAACTGAATCGAGCGCGGAAAGATTATAGGTAGGGGCTTTGGGAGCGGGCGAATTCGATCGTGAAGTCAGATTAGCGAGAGAGTTAGTGAGTTAGGAGATAGGGGAGAAGGTCGATCGCGCGGTGGCTATGGCAGATTGTCGAAGAGAAGGGAGGAGATAAATATAGATTTTGCCTGTCTCCTAACGAGAACGGTGGAGTGAAGAGTCAAGACTGACATTTTCAGGGCGGGCAACCTCAAATATAAGGTCAGATCAGAAGAATAGTTGGTAAAAGAAGTGTTAGTAGAAAAAGTGAGTGTGCCGAACGATAGCGAAAGCGAGCTATGGTAGGAATGAAAAAAGCAATGAGTTCACTCGATTTTCGAAGGCATTAAGCGTGGAAGGAGATTATTTTGGGACTCTCGACCTCCGCAGACATGATGGTGAAGTTAGTTTTAGAGAAAATTTTAGTAAGATCAGAGTTAGACGAGCTATTGGCTGCGCCTACAGGAAGTAAGTTGGGGAGTGGAATGTATCCGCCCGTGTTCTAGTAGAACATTAATTTGATCTTTGCCCACCGTTGAGAGACGTAAGGACAGCCGCGTATTGGAGACTTACCTGGAGGCTGGTGCACCGCTCCCCCTGCTGATAAGAGACTCCCCCTCACTCTGCTCTTTGGGTATGCGCACGACTACTCGTGTACCTGGCTATGCTCTAGCGGGAGATTCATTCGATTTTGCTCATCCTGTCTCTAGTAGTAGCGGGAGGCCAGCGACGGGAGTGGAGACTTACCTGTCGTACCGTACCCCGCCCAACCGAACGGTGGAGGTGGAGGGAGAGCCGGGTTGCAGCTCCAAGGTTGGCCGAATATRGCTTGATGGCGGTCCTCCCGTCTGAAGGCCCCACCCACGAGATCCGAATGAACCGAGCCGTATGGGCAACTAGGTGCATTCGCATGTAGGGAGGGGAGGAGCATACAACCGGCGGGCACAGTTCTACGGAGTGAGCATACTCACCGTGGACCCGTCTGCGTTCTAAGCTGAAGAATCGCTTGCGGGGTGGTAAGCCACAGGCGACGGTCGAGCATGTCAGAGAGAAAGACTGAGAAAGGGTGAAGGGAGGGGGAGAACAGACACTTACCTAAAGTCCGCATGCGAGACGAGCCGGGTGAGACGAAGGCTACGGCCTGTGGATCAAGCGAGGCAGCTACGGGAAGGCTGCAAGCTTTGAAACTTACCTGTTGGTTGGTGCGACGCTCGTCCAAGTTCGACAGAAGCAGCAGCAGAAGAGTTGCAGGCCAGGAGGCTGCCTGGTGGCCCAAAAGGCTGCCCATCTCATTGGCTAAGGCAACATCGGGCCAGGAAGACAAGCATGCCAGTTGCCAGGAGTATCGCTCGTCCTGCCAGGCAGGAGGGCAAGAGCCGAGGAGGATGCCTGATTGTGGGCATAAGGCTGTGGGAATCTACGGTTAGTGTTTAGAATGGGAGGCTACTTTTGCAAGCCCAGTCTGCATACGTCAGGCTCGGGGGACTAGCGACAAAGGCAAGGATCTCGCTGGTGGGTGCCAGAACGGTGACTGGGCCTGATCGGTTCGCTGC